TTCCATCTTGCCTTATGTTCCCCCCCCAGAGCCTGCGACAACGTTGAAGGCTCTCGCGGAGAAGGCGGCGGCGGATTCTGGACGGAGACCCAGAGGCCTAGAATCTGGAGTCCCGTGGGCGTGTGTCGAGGGGAATTTTCATTCCCGGAATAAGCTGCTTCGTCACCGTCTTCGGGTCAGGTAAGAAATTGGGGCCGATGCGTTCCGAAATATTCGTGTCGACGGGGTGAGGTGTAGCGTAACCTTGGTCGGCGAAGTGGTAAAAGGTGTCGAGGTTGTTGCTATCGAGGGGATTATCTTCATCGAGTGGAACAGGTACGGAACAGAATGGGAGTGGTCCGGCAGCTTCCGAGGCTCCAGGTACGTCTTCTTCTGCTGCGTCAGCCTCGGCAGTGTGGTCAGCGAAGGAGCGAAGGCCCGCGAAGCCGTCGGTGGGGTCTTGTGTGTTGGCAAGGTTGTCCAGGTAATGCTGCAGCGTCAGTCGTTCGTAGAAGATAACATCGCGTGATGCCACCGTGTTTTTGTCTTGTATGTCGAGAATTTTCCACGCGTGAAAATGTTTTGCGATGCCGAGGTGTAGTCCCCATCGAGCTCTTTGTGAGAAGCGTCCTGCTCGGGCTGTGTGGGGTCTGTACTGTACCATGCAGCCGAAAACGCGGAGTAATTTTGTGCTGCCCCTTTTTCTTGTCCACAACAGGTGCGGCGATGCGTTGTTGGGAAGTGATGACGAGGACAGCAGGTTGTGCAGGTGAACAGCATGTGTCATCGCGTCTGGCCACAGTGCGTTGGGCAGCCTCATCCCCAGAAGCAGTTTTCGCATCGTCGTCTGCAAGGTCCGGTTCATGCGTTCTGCTACCCCCTGCTGCTGGTGAGCATAGGGCAGAGACACCAGGCGTCGGATTCCCCTTTCCGCGAGATAGGTCCTGAAGCGTTGTGACTGGTATTCCAGTGCACCGTCTGACTGGAAACTCTTGAGTTTGGTTCCTGACTCTCGTTCGGCGATTGGAAGCCATGTGGTGAAGGCCTCGAAGGCTTGATCGCGCGTTTTGAGATTGAAGTGCCAGACGTATCTGGTTGCTGCGTCGATGAACGTGATGACGTAGTTGAAGTCGGCTTCGGTGTCGTCTCGAGGCATGTTTAGAATATCGCTGTAGACCTTTTCCATCGGAGCGTAAGTGGGTGCGCTTGGATTGTGATGGGCTGGGAAAGGTTGATGAGGAAGATCTGCTTCGGGGCATGTGAAGCACCGTGCGCGTGGTCGTCGGAGTTCCTGGCCGTTCGTCGTCAGAAGGGCGTTGCGTTCTAACACCTCTGCTTGGATTGTTTGAAGTATCGTGCTGTTTGCAGGATGTCCGAGACGTTGGTGCCAGATGTCGTCGGGAGCGCGGTGGCCGGGCGAGCGGTGGTAGATGTCGGCGTTGGAGAAGAACGCGACGACTGAGGCGGGACTTCGACAAGCTTCTCGTGTGGCGGGCATAAGTTGGTCTGCTTCCGTTGGCGGTCCTCGTGTTGATGGTGGTGGTACTCGGCTGGGTCCTGCTGCCGATACTGCAGGTGATGGTTTTGTTGGGACACTTGCGGGTACTTGTCTTTCTTGTCTGATAACTGCTAATGCTCGTGTTCTCTCTGCTGCAGGTATGGTGTTGGAGTGCCAGAAGCCGTCACTGTCGAAGTCGGGGTCAAGATCCGGCGGGTGAGTCCAGGCGGCGAACGATACGATGCCATCGCTGTCGGCAGTTCCGCGGTCGGGGACGAAGTCCAACACGAAGACGCCGGACTTCAGGAGGGCACGACCGATGAACAGGCCGCCCTTCCCGTGGTAAAGCCGGAACTCGTTGGAGTAAGAGTCGCACTCCAGGTGAATCCCCTTGGCCATTAGTTGGCTTACGCTTAGTAGATTGTATCCCAGATTGTCGACAATGAGCACCTTGTTGAGTTGAAGTATGACATTCGTCTCCATGGATTGTAACTGAACCACGCCCTGTCTGTTTGTTTTCAGGTTTTCGTTGTTGGCGACGGTGATGACGACGTCGCGGTTGAGGCGTTTCTCCTGTTGCACGAAGCGTCCCGAGGAGCACATGTGTTGACCGCAGCAGCTGTCCAAGAACCAGGTGTTTCGCCCAGTGGGTTCGGCGTTGGCGACCGCAGCGTATGTTGGGTGGACCTGAAGTCCTTGTGAGCGCGGCGGCGGGAATTCCTCTTCGTCTGGTGCGTAAGTGGGTGGTGATCCGGGTGCGCAGTTGTCGATGTGTACCATGCAGTTGATGATATTTGGTGTCCCTTGTGCAGATGTTGAAGAGCGCCTTGGGGAACTTGCTTGAGTGGAAGCAACTTGTGGGTCTGCTGCACGGTAAATGCGAGGGCGGTTGCAGTTGACTTTGGAGTGTCCGGAAGTCTGGCAGTTGTGGCAGAACGGCGGCACGATGGTGAGTCCTCGTTGTCGCGTTGATCTTGCTTGCTGCGTCGGTTGTAGTTTATGTCATTTCTTCTTTGAGTGTAGAAGACTAACTGCTGTTGCTTCCTTGGTTGTCTTTCCTCGAACAGATCCATCTCCTGTTGTTCAGCGTGAAGCTCGGCGCAGAGGTGCATCTCCGAGATCCTTCCGTGGGCGCGAAGAAGCGATCGTGTGGTTCTCCATTCTGGTCCGAGCCCGGCGAGGACAAGTGTGACGAAGCTTTCTTCAGTGATCGTTCCTCCGCACCGAAGCAGGCGGTCGCGCAGGGTCTGGCAGCGACTCATATACTGCATCGCCTTTTCCCCGGTTTTCATCTGTATTGTTGTCAGCTGTTGCATGAGTCTGCTTTGTGTCACGCTGTCGTTTGCTTGATAGAGGCATTTGAGATGATGCCATGCAAGTTCCGCGGAGTTTCCATAACTCCGATACGTTCTGATGCTCTGCTGCTCTTGTGGTGACAGTTTCTCAGGAGTACGTATACGCCAGCAGCGACTGATACGTGAAGATTTCTTGTTCCTTCCCAGTGCCGTTGCTTGGGAATGGCAGGGACCCGTTGAAGTATCCCAGAAGATGCGCGGCCTCCATCAGCAGCTCGAACTCGAAGCTCCAGGTAAAGAAGTCGTGTCCGTTGAATGGGGATGATGTCTGCAGTTTAATCACGTGTGAAAACTGTGCCTGGAGACTTAAAATCTCGTTTGGTGTTTGTTGTGATGCAGCTGCTGTTGGTTGGGCACGGGGCGGCATGAACTCGAACGTCCCCGGTGAAGAGTGATAAGGCGCAAAGGTAGGCGCTTGATTGTGTCGCCCGAAGGATGAGTTGTCGAGGCTCATCGGCGCTAATCCCATATTCCTCCATTGCTCTGTGTTGAGTGCGCAGGTGTCCTTGTCTGCTGCTGCTGGATCGAAGTGTGACATGAAGCTGAAGAATCTCTCCATGAGATTCGGGTCCACACTTGAAGATGGAGACGGGGTCACCATCTCTGGTACTCTTCCCGTTGTTTCTTGAGCAGTCCCGGTCTCTGTCTGCAGTCCTGAGGTGTGCAGACCAGAGTTCCGTGTTGAGTTTCTTGGGCGCTGGGTGAGCCCGTAGAGACTTTCTTGCCCTTGTTGTCCATGTCTTGTAATCAATGGAGTTGTTTGAATCAAGTTGAGTTGCTGGTTGTTGATGGAGTGTAGTTGCTGGGAGTTTTGGTCTCTGACCAGCTCTCATACCATGTTGGGCTGAGAAAAGCCCTTAGGATCTTTTGCAGAGACTAAGTCCCCAGCTGTAAAGACTTGAGACTTGGAGTAGTGCAGCGGAAGTTGAGACGGTTGAACCTTGTACTAGTATGTGAGAACAAGTGATTGATTAAAGAAACAAGCATACAGCAATATATAGAAGATAAGAAAGCAGTTGTAGAATACAGTTACAGGAGCGGTTTATCGAGTCGACAGCGACTCGATTGCCGCTTCGGTTACCATCTGTGATGTTGTAACGGTCAGTCGCAACCTCCAGTTGCGACCTTTCGAGTCCTTTCGCTTTCTTTGTCCGCCCCCTCGTGTAACCTCCGTTGACTCGCGTGCTCCCCTGTAATCTTCCTCGAGTACAGTGTTACACTTCAGAAACGCTTAAGTCCTTGAGATATTTCCAACAAGTTCAACGCCATGAACACACGCATGGCTACAGTGCTGGAGGACAATGAGCGAATTCGTGCGGAAGTTGCTGAGTTACGCGAGGCGCGAGAGGATTCGCGTAAAAAATCTGCCGCCCAAGAGGAGGTCGCCAGCACCGGACGTATCGAAACCGTCTTGGACGAAATCGCGCGTGAGGTGTCACATGAGCGCAAGGACAGTGAAGCCGCCGCAGCAGCTGACGTAGCAGCACGAGCAGCAGCCGAAGCAGCAGCAGCAGCAGCAGCAGTAGCGACAGCAGCAGCCGCTCGGTCAGAAGCAGCCGCTACTGAAGCCGCACTGGCGTTTATGCCAATCGTGACAACAGCGACGATCAAACCGACAATGCCGCCCCCGTTCAACCCCACAAATAAGAATACTACTGTTACGGGCTGGTTATTTTTGACGGAACTTTATTTTAATGCCGCTGGGATCACTGCTGACGATCTAAAAATTCGACTGGCTATATCACTACTGCGGAGACCTGCGCTAGATTGGTGGCGATATACTCTACAGGAGGGGGAGTTTTCAGCAGGCGACACACAGAGGTTTTTCGGAAACTTTGGGTCTGCTGCCCAAGGGTCAACCGCGATTTTTGGATCGACCAAGATTCGCACGTGGAAGGAGTGGGGTACAGCTCTGCGTGAACGGTTCGAGCCAATATCCGCCTCGGACAACGCACGCACGAAGCTGGACAACTGGCGCCAGTGGAGTTCTGTCCAGGATTACGCGTCGGTCTTCACGGCGTTATGCAATCAAATCACCGACATGCATAACTCCGAGAAGAAAGCTCGATTCATTTCGGGCCTAAAGCCGGACATAAAATGCGAGGTCCGACTATGACTTCCGGCGACATTTCACGAAGCAGTCCGGATCGCAGACACTTTCGACGCACATCGGACGTATGCGAGAGCGGGTTCCCGGGAGGGAAACCGTTTTCGTGGCCAGAATCCAGGGCCCACGATTCACGGCATAGTGGTGAAGGAGCACATGGAAGATTTTTGCAAGGGACAATGTTTCAACTGCCACCAACCGGGTCACCAATCTCACGATTGCCCCCGAAAGAAGCAGATAAAGAAGAACGACGAAGGTGGGTCGGGAAGCGCCAAGCGTCAGTAGCGGTCGGGCCCCCTACTGACCCTGCCTCATCGCCCGAAAAACACCATCCCCACCGAGTAGTGGTTCCAATATATGCTATCAACCGCTCCTGGCTGAATAAGGGGGATGACCCAGTGGACCACCCTGTACTAGCGGAGGGACGACTCAACGGAAGAAAAATAAAAATATTCATCGACGGAGGTGCGAGTCAAAGCCTGATAAATCGAGAGACAGCACGACGACTACACCTGACGCTGGAGAGGTGTCTGCCCGAAATCGACGCGCGATTGGTGGACGGCACCCCGCTGGCGATATGCGACAAAAAACATGTCGTTTGAATGAAGTGTGGCGAAGATTTTGGTTTCAGCGCGCCGATGCTGGCGACAATGCTCGACGGCTACGATGTGCTATTGGGACGCGATTGGCTACGACGATTCAATCCGCATATCGATTGGACAACAGGCGAGTGCACAGTGAAGTGCGACAAAGGCTGGCGAAAATTACCCACGTGGCCGGAAGCAGAGACAACATCGACACGCGTCAACGCAATGTGCCTCAAGCGAGCGGTCAAGAATGGAGCGGATTTATACGCCGTCCATCTAACTGAATCGACGGAGCAGAACGAAGCGACCGCCATCAACGAACTCTGCGCTTCGGTCCCGGATGACTTGGCGATACTCATTCGGGGATATCCTGAAATTTTCCCAGACGACTTGCCAAGTGGACTGCCACCCGAACGACCCCAGGACCACAAAATCGAGCTAGAGCCCAGCACGCAACCTACTGTACGCACGCAATGGCGCCTGACTCAGTCGGAGCTACAGGAGTTACGAAACCAGCTGGATTACCTGCTGGCGAAAGGGTTCATTCGGCCAAGCACGTCACCATTCGCAGCACCAATCCTGTTCACGCCAAAAAAGGACAGCGGACTTCGCATGTGTACGGACTATCGTGCCCTTAATCGGGTAACGATAAAATCGCGCTACCCAATACCACGCACGGACGAACTGATCGACAACCTTCGCGGAGCTCGCTATTTTTCGAAGATAGACCTTCGCGGCGGTTACCATCAAATTCGGGTTTTCGCTGACGACTGCCACAAGACCGCGTTTCGTACTCGCTACAGGAGTTACGAATACACGGTGATGCCGTTTGGATTAACGAACGCCCCCTCGATATTTCAACTCACCATGAATGGGGTATTCCGCGATCTACTCGACAAATGCGTGATAATTTATATGGACGACATCCTGATCTACAGCAAGACCCGCGAGCAACATTTGAAGGATTTGGAAGCAGTTTTTCAACGGTTGCAGCAGCATCGTCTCATCACCAAGGGCTCCAAGTGCGAGTTTTTAAAACAAGAACTGGAGTTCCTGGGGCATGTGATCTCTACGGAGGGGATCCGGATAGACCCGAAAAAACTCTGGGCTATTCAGGAATGGAAACCACCAACCAATCTGCAGCAGCTGCAATCCTTTTTGGGTTTCGTGAATTACGTGCGGCGGTTTATACCCAATATGGCGGGGTTAACTGGACCTCTAACCGACCTACTGCAGAAGGGAACTTTTTACGAGTGGGAGGAGAAACAGCAAGCGGCGTTTGAGGCATTAAAAAATCTTTTAATGTCGCCACCGGTACTTCGTATCGCCGACCCGGAACGGCCTTTCGAAGTCATCATCGATGCAAGTGACATCGCAATCGAAGCAGTGCTCATGCAGGATTTCGGCAATGGGCTTCAACCAATTGCGTACGAGTCTTGGAAAATGCAATCTGCTGAGCGCAACTACCGAGTACACGACAAGGAGATGCTGGCGATCGTCCACGCGTTCAAAAATCTGGAGGTGCTACCTGATTGGAGCAGACGTGACGGTGCGAACCAACCACAAATCACTACAGTATCTGAGAGCGCAGCCGAATCTCAACCCGCGGCAGATACGTTGGCTGGACTACCTAGAATCCAATTTCACGTACAAGATCATGTATAAGAAGGGCGCCAACAATATTGCCGACGCCCTGTCCAGACCATCTGCCCAACTCGCAGCAGTACTAGTCGCCCAGAGCAACCCGCTGCTGAGTAGACTATTTACCCACGGGGATTCGACAAACCCCTTCTTCGTAAATGATGGCCATCTCCCAATCACTACACGGAAAGGCGTCTATTACTTACGAAGCGGGAATGATCGAATTTGGGTCCCAAGTTATCATCTACTTCGCGAATTACTAATTCAAGAAGTCCACGATTCGAATTTATCGGGACATTCCGGGGTTGATAGAACTCTGAAGGCGTTGCAGCGGTTTTATTACTGGCCAGATATGGTTACAGACGTGCAGCGTTACGTGGCCGCGTGTCCGATCTGCCAGCGAATAAAATCATCACACCAGCGATCTACAGGACTGTTGCAGCCCCTCGAGCCACCTCAACGCCCATGGCAACACGTAACGATGGATTTCGTTACGGGACTACCGGCCGGACCCAGCGGAAATGACACAGTTTTTGTTGTCGTCGACCGATTGACGAAAATGGCGCATTTCGCACCATGTCGTACAACCATCACAGCCGAAGAAACAGCGCGCCTGTTCATCTCGACCGTTGTTCGTCTACATGGGATACCAGCAGCAATCATTAGTGACCGAGATCCGAAGTTCACGTCAAAATTCTGGCAGGACACGTGGGCTCGGTACGGCACGCGTCTACAATTCCCATCCGCTTATCATCCCCAAACGGACGGCCAGACTGAAAGGACAAATCAAACGATGGAGCAGTTGATACGGACAAACTGCCCCGACCGAAAAAAATGGGAAGACGTGCTGCCCATGTTGGAATTTTCCTACAACAACGCGTCCCCGGCTACGACTAATCACTCCCCGTTTTATCTCAATTACGGGATGGATCCCACAGTACCCGTCTCCACCAACGTTGAGAGTCAAGTACCACGATCGCAACAGTTCGTCGAAGAGTTACAGACTGCTCGAGACAAAGCTGTCGAACTTATTCGCAAGGCGAGCGCAATTGCCCGACGGTATGCGGATTTACATCGACGGGATATTACCATGGCAGCAGGGCAACTAGTCCTGTTGGACACCAAGAATTTACGACTGCCACTACCGACAAAATTACGACCACGCTTCTGTGGCCCATTCAAGATTATGAAGATGGTGACGCCGGTGACCGCCCAGTTGCGCCTACCTGATGACTGGCCCACAACAAGTTCCACGTAAGTCTGTTGCGACCCTTCGTTCCTGACAGGTCGGACATCGCCCGACAGCGATTGGTCCCAGATGTACGGCCACCAGCCGAGACAACCATCGAGCCTTCGAAGATTTTGAGCCATCGGATTCGTACCGACGGTCAAGGACGACACGTTGACTTTCTGATACGATGGACCAATCGTACCAGTGAGGACGACACGTGGGTGCACTCGAACCAGATACAGTCACATTCAATACTTGCGAATTATTTGGACCGCAAGCACGTGACTGATATAGATCACCTTCGCTAAGGGGGGGGGTGGTGTAAGGAATTTTCCATTCCTTACCGAGCAGTACTGCTATAGCGTACGCTCGAACACACCCGAAACCTCGGGACTGTTCCAGACCTTCTGACAGAACCGCCTCGGCTTCACCAAGCCTTCCAGTTCGACCTTCGGGAGTTCTCCGGGCCTCGCTGCGTCACTTCGAGGCCCTTCGATCTCTTTCCCGAACCTCACCATCGCAGGGTTAGACTAGCTCTGGTGTTCCTATATCTTGGCTTGCCATTCCTTGTATCGTCATTCAGTGAGTGAACACATCGTTATTCATTTCCGCGCTACTCTGCTTGTTCATCCATAACAGTAAAACACACGCCATTTCAGCCGAGATAGATTATGTGGAAGTAGAACTTGTATAAACCACAATATCAAAGCATTCAATTCAAATAAGCATTGCACTCAAAATCAGCACACAATTTGCATTTTTTTTTTCAAAATTAAAATGGCGATGGATTCGTAGAAAATATTATATTTGTGATGATTGTGATGTTGATAATTTCCCTACTCTTAGACCACTCCCACAAATAAGCTCCTAAATGATATTGACCTTCTCAACTGTTTGTTTGACGACCTTCCAACGGATCTCGCTGACCAGTCAATCGCGCTTTCATATCGGAAGGAATTACGTGTTGACGTGGCTTTCAAAGCCGTATTCAAGATCGACTTGTATGATCCCTTTTCAAGGTCGCTTCGGCAGGGGGAGCTGGCTTTGGTACTACAATAGGCTCTTATGCCTTCCCTAAAAAGACTTGTACGCTACTGTAGTTCCAATCCAGTGGCAAATGGATCTCCGCGCCTCTAAATGGAAACACGACCCCACAACGCAAGTCAAAATCTTTGGAAGTTCGAATCGAAGTTTGAAAGCGCAAAAGCAGCACTTCGCCTCGGGTGCTTCACCAACAGCTTTCCATCCAGCATGTCTCAAGAATCGTCACCTTCGCACTAGGTACTGCTATCATTTCACATCCCTAGCATTGAGGCTTCAGCAGGACAGAATAAATATCCCAACTCCACCAAGACCGCCTCTCATTTAGCTGAAAGAATTCCCATCGTCGTTGTCAGACTCTAAGAAGCCCGTTGAGAATAAAATTGCGTCTTTCGTCTAGGACTGTCGTCGACCCTCGCCTCGTACACCCGCGAAACGAACATTGGGCAGTAGAACTTCCAAATTTGAACAAAATGAGCGGCGCGGCAGGGTTGTGCGAGCTGCAGTTCGACTCGGCAACAGCGACGGAGTTCCTGAAGCTGCAGCACGTGCTCATGCGGCACGACGCGAGCCGCGCCACGAACGCCGACACGCTGTCGTGGCTGCTCGACGCCGCTAAGGAGCGAATCAGCGAGCTGGCGCATAGGGAGGGAAAGCGCAAGAGAATGACGACGAGTAATAACCGTACGAGCCTTCCCTCCCCACCCCATCATCGAATAGCAGGTTGTGTCTTTCCGCCATTCCTCCCCTCACAAGCAGACTCCGTGGGCGTTTTCCCTCAACCCTCCCATCGTTTGAGAGAAGCACACTGCGGCGGCGCCTCAAAAGCACTCCGCGTAAGAACCGTCCCTCCCTCTTAGGAAACACCCCATTTCTCGGTCTCGCACTCCCACTTTCCATCATCCAGCCACCCCCTTCCACCCCCGGCTGATTTCATCGTCTCTCCTCTCGTCATGATCCCAAAGCACATGTTGCCAACATATGTCGCCCTTTGAACGCTTGCGAAACATTCGTTCGACAACGCATTGGGTGGTCAGTGTCTTCCTGCGAAACGAGGCTCCAATGTGCGACCGATGCGTTCCCACCAGCTCCCTTGCACGGCGCTACTAGTGTCCGCCGCGTAGCCGCCTCGACTGCCAAACAATGTCTTTGTGCTCTAATACCATTCCACTTTGTGCTCTCACTGCTCTCACTGCTCTCTCTGCTCTCACTGCTCTCTCTGCTCTCACTACTCTCTCTGCTCTCACCCTCGAATCCCCACCGCAGCGAGAACGAGCAATGCAAGTGTGTGCACGTTAGAATTCGACTCGGCAACGGTGTGGGAGTTCCTCAAGCTGCAGGGGGTGCTCACGAGGCATGATGCCAGCCGAGCCTCAGATGGTGACACCATGGCGTGGCTGTTGGAAGCTGCCAAGGACAGGATCAACGAGCTGACGCAGCGGGAAAGGAAGCCCAGACGGCCGCCAGGTACGTGTAGAAACGAGCATTTCATGGGACATTATTCCATTCACCAGCCTCACTGTCTGTTCTGACTCGACTCAAAATAAACACCGCTGACAGTTCTCGTGCTCTTGGTGTTATCTTTACAATCCCTCTGCCGTTTCTGTTGTCTCGCGTCACCACTTCCCAGTTGTGCTTTCATTATCTCGTGCTTCTCTCCTCTCCTTTATTCTCTCGCCCTCTCATTATCCATTTCTCAACATTCTCCACCATTCTCATACGACGATCCCGGCCAGATTCCATCCGTAATTTCTAGTAGGTGATATTCTCTCTCCCCCACATTCCAAAATTCCCCCTAGACTCCTCGCATTCACCCTCCCCATCCCCTTATCGCTGTGATCCTCCAGGCTCCACCCACCGTGACTTGATCTCTACGATGCCAGTCCCCCTCTGGCACAAGATCTTCCGTTACCTGCTGCTGCCACCTGGCACCTTGCAAGAAGAGGATCCCCTGATTTGTGCGCGCAGGAAGAAGCCCTGGTACCTTGGCGCGAAAATGCAGCGGCCAGCGGGCAGAAATCTGCCTGTGAAGTTTGTGAACCCTGACTTCACGGCTGTCGGGCAGCACCCAAATAACGCTGAGAGTTACGGCTAGGCGTGGGCTCTGCTGTGCTGTGCGCTGGCCAGCAAGAGGCTCCTCGGCTGCGTCCTCTCCTTCTCTGTGAGTGCTCTGCTCTTTTTCCTGAGTGCCGGCAACAACAAGCATCTGCCACCTGCGCTCTATCCGCACCCCCAAGCATCCCAATGCCCGCAGGGATGAAAGACTTTCCAACATGCTTACACTTGCGCTCGAGTCTATCGCTTCCGGTTCTCTGACCACAATATGGACCGTGTTCTCATAAGACCTTCTCTGCACGCTGAAATAACTTAAAGAGTACAAGTCCTCAACCACTCCCCACATCCTTCACCCATCTCTGAGAGCAGGCGAGCCATCCCATCGCCCCCGTGCTCAACAACCTGACCAGAGCCGCTCTCTGCGCCCGTCTCCTCTCTTCCATTGCCCCTCGTCGCAGGCGAGCGAGCCCATGGCCCTCGTGTACAACGACCTGCACCCGCAGTGGATGAAATCAATCTCCTTCTTCCGGTGGCGCGGAATCAAGGCTCTTGACCTCACCTTCACACACATCACGCAGCTGGAGCCCTTCACGTCCCCGCGCAAGTGGTCCTTCCCTGCTCTCACTTCTCTGACCCTCAAGCTGTGTGGCTTTGTGGACCTCAAGTCGTTCTTTGAGAGCGAGTATCCGATGGACTCGGGAGAGCGGAGGGAGTTTGAGCAGGGCTTCTGGGAGCTGGACTCTTTCTTCGACTGTCCGCAGCTGCAGCGGTTGAAGCTGGGGTGGGGCAAGTGGGTGCTGGACGAGGGCTGCACAGAAGCAGCGTGGTGGAGCTCCCAGCGCAGTCTCACTATTAAGCATGCGGACCAGGAGTATGTGGACTAGAAGGTGCTGGCCGCCCTCACCCCACAGCTGCACGAATTCACGCTCTACGAGGGCTGCTCTCTGGATCGCCAGTTTTGGGGCCCCTATGGCAGCGGCGAGCGCCTCTGCCTGAAATTTTCCAACGCCCGCGCTCTTCGCTTCTACTTCGCCCAGAGCAGCCTCACTCTCGTCCTGACCCTCTCTCCCTTGCTCAAGAGATTGTCTGCCATGGCCAAGTCACTTGACCTCGCCTGCAAGAGCAGCGCCCCTCTCTCTCTCCACCATCTCTCGCTGTACGGCCAGGACCGCCTCGTCAGCTCCTCCCTGCGCCTCGCATCGGCACACGCCCTCTACCTCAACGGCCCCGCCGGCGATCAAGACCAAAGCGGTAGAAACTTCTATGGCTACTGGAAAACCCATGAGCCTCCCCCCGAGTGGAAGCACCTTTCCGCAAAGAAACCCAAGTTTTCCTGGACCACGTTTCTCCGTGCTATAGCACCAACAGTGGAGGTGCTTGTAGTGAGGCACGGGGTGCCTATGGAGAAGGTGAATGCGGTGTGGAGCAGGCTGCGCAGCCTTAGGATTGTGCTGGAAAAACTTGGGGGTGATGATAATGATCAGGAAGTGACCGTGGAGAACCTTCATGAGCACAATGCAAGGGTGTTGCAGCAAGAGCAGCCGTGGCAGCAGCAGCAGCAGGAGCAGCAGCAGTCAGGAGGAAGGCCTCCTCCCATCAAGGCTCCAAATCTGGAGTCCATCTTCTTCCCCTCTCAAAAAGCAAGTGAAAAGCCGACCCTTGCATCCCTGCGCCAAGGCTGCCTGTCCCTGGCCCTGTACTGTATTGTGGGTCGCTCCTTCTACTGGGAGAGGAAGGGGAAGAAGCTGCCAAGAGCCCCTGTGGTGCATGTGAGGCAGGAAAAGAGTGGCATCTCGTGCAACTGCTTTGGGGAGAGGCGGGCGAAGAGTGTGAGGGAGAAGATGCATGGTGTGAATAAGGGGCTAACGGAAGGGTACAGTCTCCATGAAGATGAGGCGTATATTTTGAAGTACAAAGGCCGACTTTGGAAGGTTTGACCCTTGCTGGATGGCAGAGGACGAGGCTGGGGCTTTAATGCTTGCTGATTGGCAGAGGACGAGGCTGGAGTTTTGTGCTTGCTGATTGGCAGAGGACGAGGAGGAGTTTGGTGCTTGCTGATTGGCAGAGGACGAGGCTGGAGTTTGATGCTTGCTGATTGGCAGAGGACGAGGCTGGAGTTCGATGCTTGCTGATTGGCAGAGGACGAGGCTCGAGTTTGACGCTTGCTTATTGGCAGAGGACGAGGCTGGAATTTGATGCTTGCTGATTGGCGGAGGACAAGGCTTGGGCTTGATGCTTGCTGGTTACAGTCTTCATGAGGACGAGAATTGGTTCAGGTGGATACCGTAATCACCTGTATAAGGAATTAGTAATTCCTTAGTGAGGTTTGCTACAGGGCGTATGACTCGAACAGTCCAGACCTTTCAGTTCGAGCCTCCTGGGCCTTTCCGGACCTCGCTACGACACATCGAGGCCCTTCGATACCTTTCCCGAACCTTCCGATCCTACGTCCAGG